GTGAACGGTATCAGGAGGTGACATCAGTTCTTCTGGGCAATAGCAAGGGGTGGAACAGCAAACACAGCAAAGAGGGGATTACCACACTCGGAGGCTTGGCCTTTCCTTTTTGGGGCATAGCTGGTGTTTAATTGGCTGTGGCAACAGAGAAGCTCCACAACAACTGTTTCAGTTAAATTCCTGACAAAGCAACACAAACCCTGACTCCCCTGTGCAACTTGTAACAGCAATGCACAGCTCTACAGCGTAAGCCCACGAGGGAAGGTGGTCATTAAGTATTAAAACAGATCATTATGCACACAGCCAACAGTGGGAGAAAGAGAAATCAGAAAGCTGCATGTTGCTTCAAGGGAGACCTCTGTGCTCAAACCAGAAAGCGGGGTTCAAACCCTATTGTGGAGACCGAGGGACATATCTGTGTTTTTATGAGTATCATCTGCACCTCACCGTACTTGTTTGATATGATCCTTGCAGACTGCATAGAACTAAATCAGGGGAGGCGGCTGGGGAGAAACAAACAGGAAACGAAATGATGACAGAGCTAAGACCAGAGGGAAGACCCAGGGTCCTTCCGGGAACATGGGGGGAGCTGTTAATTGGGAAGTGCCCACCTGCCTGGCTCCCACCAGGCTAGCAGGTTCAGTTTTCCGAGGCCTAGGATCAAAGGGGCACCAAACCATGAAAGACCCAGCCTAGAGAGGAGGGGGACAAGGGGGCAGCAGTGGCTGGAGATGAGTCTCTGGCAGAGACACTGGGAGAACACGACAGGGGCTGTCTGTCTCTCCCAGGCCAGGAGTAGGGGTCTAGGCTGAGTGGAACTTACCCAAGCCTTGCAGGGAAAAGATACAGGTTTGGTAGGACCTGGCATACAGGCCTTTTATTGTTTTATCTCTTTGGTCTGCTGGCTGTGGACCTTTGGGGGAATAAATACTTTGCTTCAAAGAAGCTGTTTTTGAGTCACTTTAATCAATTGCTGGTCACAGGCTCCCGCAGGTAAAGGGCATTCAGGTGCCCAACCCAGCAGGGCCTGTCATTTACCACAGCCGGTAAATGGGGGTGCAAGCCCAGAGATCCAATTGAAGAGTGCTGGGACCATGTGGTTGGACAAGGGTGAAGGTGGCACAATCTGTCACCAGATGGCTGCAAGCAGGAGGGACTCACTCACAGGGACCCAATGCGCAGCTCCCCTGTCACTGTGACCCCTATGTTATCCAGTTTCTTTTGTTCAAGGTCTTGAATATAAGCTGGATACTCTGAGCAGAGGATTCTGGTGGACACAGAAGGAGTCACTCTGTTCAGGACTTGGCTGACAGTTACGAAATACAACTAGACATATTTTTAAAAAGCAAGAAAACTGCAAGGGGGTCAGCTCCTCGGACAGCTTCACACCCACACTTCTCATGGTAAGGCACTCGGACTCTTCCCTCATGCTTCACCAGCCAGCCAATCGGTGTGGGCATCTGAGCCCACCTAGGTAGGGACAGATACCATGCTCCTGGCCATGGAGGATTAATACCTACGAAGCACATCCTGTGCTATGGATTTATTTCAAAATACAACTGGTTGGGGTAAAAGAATAAATCCGATTGGTCTCTGGTCAAGCCCTTAGCTGCCTTTCTCCCGCAAACTCACATGACCATGAAAAGGGAAAAGCCCCTAAGTGACAGCATGTGAGCACAAACACATGCCCAGGAGCAGGGTGTCCAACTGGGGGTCCACACACTGATTGACGGCAGCATCATACACAAGAGGGTTGGGTTGTATTTGTGGCTGTGTTTCCTTCCGCAGCATTCCTGACTCCTCTGCGTCTCACTGAAAGATCTCGCCCAAAGCTCAAGTCCCCGCAGGAGATTGCAGAAGCTTTCGGAGGCAGCGCTGCTGCTGGCCTCCCATGCGCAGACAACGTTTAACACCGAGGTAGCACTTCTCTCCAGTAGAGGGGACACAAGCTGTTTGCCTTATTTAGAGACCTGCCAACACTAGACTCCGGAAGAGAAGAGACGGGTCTGCACAATTCTGCTGTCATCACCTACAATTCCCCTACGCCCTACTCTCTGCTGCCTCCTCTCCGCACCACGCTCCCTTTGTCTCCCTCTCCCACTCAGTTCTATGCCTAGAGCAGCCTTCCTCCTCCGATGTGCCATGCACAACTCCCTCCCTGCCCATCAGTCGCTCCTCACAAGCCTTCCCATTTGTCCGCCACCCCATATCTCTGCCCAGGTGCTCGCTACTGCTACGCCACAGGGCTCACCGCAGAGCCCTGGCCTCAGTCCGTGCACCTCCTACATGAGGAAGGGACTGAGGCAGGCCTCTAGGGCTCTCTGTTAGGCACCTCTCGAGCTTCAGGCTGACGTCGCTTTGGCGCTCCACAGCTCTGAAGGTTTGCAGACCTGGAGCTCCCTTCTGCAGACCCCTGGTGGCACTACAGCCATCGGCACCGTGTCTGTGGTCTGGCGCAGGAAGCAGATGGGGAGCATGCCAGCTGGGGGCTCAGAAAGGGCAGAGCAGGGTGCAAAGATTTCTGTAACCCAATAGGGCATCAGCTGGCCAACAGACCGAGGGCAGAACATCCCCATCCACTCATGCCAGTGGCAGGAGCACCATGGGAAATCAAACAGCTCCCTGATGAAGGAATATTACTTGAACCACCCAACTTGTCCCCAGGGAGAGCCGGCCTTTCGGAAATCAGCCTGCCCTAGACATCATTCAGGAAAATCACACCTGTTCCAGGTGCGGTGTCTTTTAATTCCAGGTCTCCCCGGGCTTGTGTGAATTAGTGAAGCAGCTGCTGACGAGTGGCATTTCCCTGCAGGAAAAACAACAGCACAATCCTTGCTGCATTATATTTCTTCCTAAGAGGATTTCACTGAGCATGCAGAATCTCACCAAAACCATTGAGCTCTTGAAGTGTGCAGGGTACGTCTGCACACCCACACTTGACCATTCCTGAGCATTTTACTCTTCCCTGCTTTCCTTTCAGAGCAGAAACAGCTCTTCACACTTCTAAAGCACTTCACTTTTCCTAAGCCTTGTATCAACAGTAGCTAATTAGTGAGAGCTAACAAAACTGGCCCTGTATATAGAGGCCCGGTCTACCCCACAGTTAGGGCGAGGTAAGACAGTTTACATCAACCTAATTCTGTAAGCATCTACGCGACAACGTTGCGCTCACCAGTGTAAGTCACCCACTACACCAGCGTAACTCCGCCCACTTGACAAGTGTAGCGCTTAGGTCGCTGTAGTTGGGTCGATGCAGTGTCATGTAGACGCTGCACTGACTGTTCCCACTGTTAGCCCCGCCTGGCAGGGCTCCAGCTGTCAGTGCCCCACAGCGCCCTACACTGACAGTTGGTGAAAGAGCTCCTGGTGAGGACACGCACTGCCGACAGAAACTAGTGTGGACACACACAACTGATTTAATTACTGCGGTGGCTGTACATTAGCGTAACTTAAGTCACCTCAACTTTGTAGTGTAGACATGCCCTGAGTCCTGAGTCTCAGAGTGCAGTAGGAGAGGGACGAAATTTTTAGAAAGGAAAGTTTAGGTTTATAATGATTCCTCATAGTGAGATCATTAAACTGTGGACTAGTCTCTTAAGGGACGTTGTGGAAAGGTTATCGCTTGGCACTTGCAGAAGCAGACTCGATAAAGCCCCGATCAACGTACTGTAGGGAACAGTCCTGTCCTGGCCATGCAGAAATGAGCTAACCGGGAGGTGTGGGGTACAGCTCTGAGTTCCATCCTGCAACTACAGCACACTCACTGCCGGATACCGTTTCTATTGGCATGGATTTCATTGCCACACAACCTGTCCTCTGGGGGCTGGGTTCTGAAGAAAGCAACTGGAAAGAACTCACTAATTAATTAAGGGCACCACTTCACCCCCTACAGGAATAAACCGAGAAAGGCAGGATGGGTCACATGTCACAAACGGCCAAATGAAATAACTGAAACGAAGTCCGATCGTTGGTGCATTTCCATATCCCTGCACTCAGCTGGGCACAGCGACCAAAGGAAAGTACTCGACTGCAAACTGAGAACCGCTTCAGAAACCCCCCAGCACATCTTTTCAACAGCCATCCTCTAGCCAAGTTCCTGGCAAGAACTGCATGAATCCAGCCAAGCCATCAATCCTAGACCTGAACCACAACTCCCAGAGCAGGACACAGGGGATCAGGTCCCCTTCAATTCGCAGAAACCTCTCTTTTAACCCACAAAGGCTAGGGGAGTAATTGCACCCTCACAGCTCAGCTGCTTCTCCTGCTTGCAGGACTGGAAGAGAAGCCTGGAAATGAGCGATGGATTAGGGCTGTTAGGGTGAATACAAAGATTGCACCACCCGATAAAAGCATACAGTGCTGTGTCCACGGTAATGTTCACCGACTCCCTTTAATGGGAAACAAAAACAACCCCCTAAAAGACCTTTTCTCGCTCAGTGGGGGGAGTGGCACAAAGTGCCCCCAGAGTGAACAACACAAGGGCCAGAGTTTAGAAGCATCTCCGCCTTCCCGGTTATATTTGTAGTCAAGAGATTGCGCAGCTCCTCACACAAGCCTCTCTGTAGCCCACCTGCTGCAACAAACCCAGCTTCTCCTGCACCGCAGCCACCCCGCTATTCCCAGCTGTTGGAGGGAGAAATAGCCTCCAGTAAGGAATGCTGCTCCCATCAGGTGAGTGGGGATCTGAGGACTGATATAAAAAAACATGAGGCTCTTGGATACTGTGGTAATCAGGGCCATAGAAGAAGGCAGATTAGCTACTATTATAAGGATCCAAGAAGAATCCAAGACAGATACAGAGGAGGCGAAGAGGAGGAGGAGGAGGAGTTTTGAAAGGGATCTAATTACCATGCAGTGATTTTTAAAAGAAAATCGAGCAGTTTTGACAAAAGCTGTAGCTGTGGTTTAAAAAGTTCACCAAGGAAAGAGCGCTCTTAGCAAGGGAGGAGCAGCTCCTGGAGCATGTACAAAGACAGGTGAATGTAAATGGTTCGAGGTACCTGACCAGAGCTCCCGCCAGGTATAATGAAGCCTCACTCTGCATTTCTTCTGATAGCACAGCAGCTTGTGCACGATCTGAATGCACCGCCTAGAACAGAGAGAGGACAGCAAGATTATCACTCACCACCGAGACACTGCCGTGGCCATTTTAAACTCTTACACAGCAGACCTTTAGATTTCTAGGAAGGGAATAGACAGCGGATGGCAGGATGGGGAGAAAGGCAAGTTGAACCAAGCCCCTAGCTAGGAGGGCTTGACTCACTGTCTCAGGCCTGCTGCCTGAAGGGAAGCAGGGCCACCAGGACAAGACTGGAGAGAGCACCTCGCATGGCAGCATTCACGCTCCTAGTGACTGAATGTGCTACAGAAACACTTACAGAACAATACCCCAGGGCTCTCTTGGGTCACTGGTTTCTCACATTTGGACAGTCTTCCTCACGGGGAGTTTAGAAGATTCACTGCCCTGGCATGAGGAGCCTAGAAGGTCCATGAAAAGGAGCTATGTGGCTCGCAGAACTGACATGCTTTGCCAGATGAGTTCAGTGAGCTTGCAACTTCCTTGAATCTGGAATCAGTTACAGGTGCAACAGACCTTACCAGCTCCACACGCATGACAGCATCACAAGCACACACAGGTCCTTGCAAGGTCCGCAAGCAAAAATCCTGGGGCGTCCAGGAGACAGCACTGAGTTTACAGCCCGTGCTGATTAAGCTCCAGAGGCAACGCCTGCAGACGCCAGCTCCAAAGCAGTAAATGTAGCACTTGGCAGATCTACAGCATGTCTAAGTCTTCCTACTGAACTCACAACCAGAGTGCCCAAGCACCTCCAGACTTTTTAGGAACAAGTCCATCTGTGGAGCTTGCAGCTTCCTGGGCAAAGTCTGCAGGATCTCGAGAGAAAACAGTTGCATACCTGTTTGGAAACTGTTGTTCTTCAAGATGCTTTGCACACGTCCATGCCACTTCAGGTGCACGTGCACCAAAGCCGGAGAACTTTCCTCCACAGTGGTACCTGTCAGGGCGGTGCATGCACCCTCCACACACATGCTGCTAGCCAAGGGCATAAAGGGGCAGAATCACACGAGAAGCCAGAGTTTGCTGCCACTCTGAGGCAGGGTGGAATGAGAGTGGGTTGTGGAATGGACACAGAATCATAGGGTTAGAAGGGGCCGCAAGGGTTATCTCCTCTAACCCCCAGCCCAAATTCAGGATTTGAGCAGCACAAAATACATGTGCAGTGCATTGCAAAGCACGACAGTACCAAACAGGTATGTAACTATTTTTATCTCAGTGTCTGCACATGACACAAGCAATTCCAGATGGAGGAAGGTACTGGAGTCCACCTGAACAAGGATTCCAACACCCCTCTCCCAAATCTAGCATCATCTCGTCAGGCCTGGGGGAGAGCACAATGCAGAGTGAATGTATGACCCAGATGCAGCCCTGCAATAGTCATTGATGGGTACGTGACCCAAGAAAGCAGCTGATGCTGCATGAGGTCTTGTAGAGTGTGCTAAAACTCTTTGAGGTAGAAAAACTTTAGCAATATCATAGCACAGATGAATGCAAGAGGAGACCCAGGAAAAAATCCTCTGAAGTGACAGGTTTTCCTTTCATCTTGTCAGCACAGGAGACTGATGGATGAGGAAATGCCCTGAAGTTCATGCATAAGTCCAATATTGCCTGAAACCAACTTCAAACCAGCCAGTCATCCAGATATGGGTGCCACCACTGTCATGCGCTTTGTGAAGACTCAAGGGGCTAATGGCAAGTCAAAGTGGGGAGGACCATAAACCAATAATGAAAATCTGCTACAAGAATCTGCTGGAAGGGTCCTCAAGAGGTCACCAAGTCCAGCCCCCTGCACTGAGGCAGGACCAAGTGTACCTAGACCATGCCTTGCAGGTGTTTGTCCAACCTGTTCTTAAAAACCTCCAAAGAGGGGGATTCCACAACCTGCCTTAAGAACATAAGAACGGCCCACTGGGTCAGACAAGGGTCCACCTAGCCCAGTGTCCTGTCTTCTGACAGTGGCCAGTGCCAGGTGCCCCAGAGGGAATGAACAGAACCGAGAATCATCGAGTGATCCATCCCCTGTCACCCATTCCCAGCTTCTGGCAAAGCCTTGGAAGTCTATTCCAGAGCTTAAATTACCCTTTGTGACAAAGTTCCTCCTCTGCCTTGGTGGGGCCTGTGCTTATTGGCAGATTTGCTCGCCTCAGAGATTCACGGCCGCCCTCAGCTTGGCCGCTTTTGCTAGTGGCTCAAACCTGCCGTCCACTCAGCTACCCTCATCGCTCGCCAGCATGGGGAAAAGGTTGGCTCACCTAGTGGGTCGGGGGACAGGCCAGGGACCTTCCCCGCTGGTGGGACCCCCAGTCCAGGTCAACTCCTCTGGTATCCAATAGGGAGTTGGGGGGATGTGGGGAACCTGGACCCGCCCTCTACTCCGGGTTCCAGCCCAGGGCCCTGCGGATCACAGCTGTCTACAGTGTTTCTTGTAATAGCCATGTGACAGCTACAACTCCCTGGGCTACTTCCCCATGGCTTCCTCCCAACCCCTTCTGTATCTTCACCACAGGACCTCCCTCCTGATGTCTGATAATGGTTGTACTTCTCAGTCCTCCAGCAGTATGCCTTCTCACTCTCAGCTTCTTGCGACTCTTGCTCCCAGCTCCTCGCACGCACCTTACTAACTGAAGTGAGGTCCTTTTTAAAACCAGGTGCCCTGATTAGCCTGCCTGTCCTAACTGATTCTGGTAGCTTCTTAATTGGCTCCAGGTGTCCTAATTAGCCCTCCTTAATTGATTCCAGCAACTTCCTGATTGTTCTGGAACAGCCCATTATCTTACTCAGGGAAAAGGGACCTGCTTAATCTGGGGCTAATATATCTACCTTATATCACTCTCCTGTAGCCATCTGGCCTGACCCTGTCACACCTTATAGACCATTTTTTCCTAATACCCAACCTAAATCTCCCTTGCTGCAAATTAAGCTCATTACTTCTTGGCCTACGTTCAGAGGACTTGGAGAACAGGTGATCACTGTCCTCTTTATAGCAGCTATTAACATATTCAAAGACTGTTCTCAGGTCCCCCCTCAGACTTCATTTCTCAAGATTAAACACCCAGTTTTTTTAACCGTTCATCACAGGCCAGGTTTTCTAAATATTTTATCCTCTTTGTTGCTCTCTTTTGGACTCTCTCCAATTTATCCACATTTTTCCTAATGTGTGGAGCCCAGAACTGGACACAGGATCCCAACGGAAGCCTCACCAGTGCTGAGTAGAGCAGTTCTCATTAGCTCCCATTTTTCACATGATACTCCTGTTAATAGGCCCCAGAATGATATTATAGCATTTTTGCAACTGCATCACATGGTTGACTCATACTCGATTTGTGATCCACTGTAACCTCTGATTCTTTACAGGAGTGCTACCACCTAGCCCGTTGTTCCCTATTTTATAGTTGTGCATTTGATTTTTCCTTCCTAAGTGTAGTACTTTGTACTTGTCTTTATTGAATTTCATCTTGTTGATTTCAGACCAATTCTCTGATTTGTCAAGGTTGTTTTGAATTCTAATCCTGTCCTCCAAAGTGCTTGCAATTCCTCCCAGTTTGGTGTCATCGCAAATTTTAGAAGCATACTCTCCACTCAATTATCCAAGTCACTAATGAAAATATTAAAGAGTACCAGACCCATGAATGACCCCTACGGGACCCCACTAAATATGCCCTCCCAGAAGTGAACACTGGATAACCACTCTTTGGGTATACTCTGTCAACCTACTGTATAGTCATTTCATTTCGACGACACTTTCCCAGTTTGCTGATGAGAATGTCATGTGGGACTGTGCCAAAAACCTTATTAAAATCAAGAAATACCACGTCTACTGCTTCCCTCCTATCCACTTGACCAGTAACACTGTCAGAGGAGGAAATGAGGTTGGTTTCACATGCCTTCTTATTGACAAATCCGCATTACCTATTTTTTATAATCCTATTGTCCTGTAGGTGCTTACAAATTGATTGTTTAATAATTTGTTCCAGTATTTTTCCAGGTATCAAAATGAGGTTGACTGATTTATAATCCCCTGGGCCCTCTTTTTCCCCTTTTAAAAGATAGCTACTATGTTTGCCCTTCTCCAGTTCTCTGGGACCTCACCTGTCCTCCATTAGAATTGCTAATGATTCTGAGATTGTTTCTGAGATCTGTGGGCAGAACTTTCTCTTAGGGTCTGGAGTATAAATGCCCAAAGATTTTAGGGTTGCCCCAGAATCTTTAAGAGTGCAAAGTTTCATCTGTTTTCTCCCGAGAACAGATTCAGGCCCTCAAATGGCAAGTCCTCAATTGTTGGCTGGACTTCTGTTGGTATGCTCGATAACTGCAGCCAAAAAGCATGATGCCCAGTGATTGCCGGTGTCAACACTCAAGCTGCCAAATCTGCCTTGTCCTATGCAGCCTGTAAAGATGGTCTTGCCGCCAGGTGGCTTTCATTTAGTGCAGCTCTACGCTCCTCTTTAGGAACATCTGGCAGCTTGTCTGTAAATTGGAACACTGAGTCCCAGCTGGAAAAACCCTAATGGGCTAAGAGGGCCTGCCGGATGGTTTGCAATCCTAAACTGCAGTCCTGAAGACAAATAAACCATTCTCCCAAATAAGTCCAGCTCTTTTGCATTTTTGTCCTTGGGAGCAGATTTAGAATGCCCTGGCCTTGGTTTCTCATTCACAGCTGCCACTACCAAAGGTCTGGATGTCAATAAAAACACTCATGCCCCTGAGATGGAACTTAGTGCCTCTCCTTTGTTCTTTTGGCAGTGGGTGTCAGAGAAGAGGGATTTCAGAGTAGCAGCTGCGTTAGTCTGTATTCGCAAAAAGAAAAGGAGGACTTATGGCATCTTAGAGACTAACAAATTTATTTTGAGCATAAGCTTTCGTGATGATCCGATAAAGTGAGCTGTAGTTCACGAAAGCTTATTCTCAAATAAATTTGTTAGTCTCTAAGGTGCCACAAGTACTCCTTTTCTCTTTTAGAGAAGAGGGAGTTTGCCAAAGAATTTTGGTGGGATCTAATAGGTAGAATATCCACCAACCGGTGTGGATTATCCTGGACCAATTCACTCTGAATACCCGGGGAGGTGGCTATCCTTTCCAGAAGTTGCTGGTACATTTTATAATTGTCCGGACCTGGGAAAGGCTATTCCAGAACAGCAGTGTCATGTGGTGATGATGAGGAAGTGTTGAGCAGAGGCACTAAAGTGTCTGTCTGCGCCACTGTTTGCTGAACAGCCATAGCAGGAGGGTCAGAACCCAGAGGAATAAGATCCCCCAGTTGCTGGCTACTGGGTGTCAGTACCGAGACCGGTACCAGATGGAGAACAGCACCTTGATGGGGATCTAGTAGAGCAACGTCTAGGAGAAGACCTTGAGTCTGGAGGAACTCCTCATGGATTCCAGAAAGGCCACTGCTGTACATGACACGGTACCAGGGATGAACCTCATGGCATCCTACCTCTGCACTTGCTCCTGTCAGAGCCACGATACTTGGGCCTTGACCTGCATGAAGAGGAACAAGGAGACGCGCAAGACCTCCTGTAATGAGAGCTCAATACACAAGACTTAGAGGAAGAGTCAGCATTCAAATGCCAAGGCAGCACAGTACCAGATGGAGTAGCTGGAGACCAACACGTGGACCATCAAGCAGCAGACAGTGCCGAAGGAAGCATCTGAGCCTTTCCTGCTGAAGGGACCATGGGCTTGATCTGCTGCACAACAGAGCTCCCAGATCCTGATAGTGTTGATAAAGGCTCAGTTCCAGATGGTGCTGAATGTGTAGGTGCCGAAGATCCCAGTACTGGGGCTTGCATGGCAGGAACAGTTGGTACCTGGACTTCGTCCTGCATCAGTGGCGTCTGGCATGGACAGGCACAAAAGGTCCCAGGCTGCTGCTTAAACCTCAGGGATCATTGGCACCCATATACCAGGGTGCATCACAGAGGAAGTTGATGCCATTGAAGGGCCCAACAACGGAGTTGGCATAAGGTGCCACAATCAATACTCTATACTGCTAGAATGTGGTTCCAGGGAGAACCTTAGCAGGAGCTGATTTAGCTCTAGCCTCAGTACCAGTCTTCTGGTGAAAGTCTGTAGGGGACCTAACCCTCAAAGAAGAGGCTCCTTCTGGCTAGAAGAGGCCAAAAGTGCTGGACGACTTCTGTTTTTTATGCTGTACTGGTGAAGAAGAATGGTGTCTTTGGCTCCCTTCAATGCAAGGAAACCCCCAAGTCTGGCAGTGCGCTCTGAGACAGAGTCGAGTCCAATTTCCTGCATACCATGCGGTGGGGTTCCCAATGGGGGCACAGAGCTGCTTCCTTCAGAAGGTCTCCATGTCAAACTTCCTCAACTTTAGTCTTGGTCTTACCCCCGCAGAGATAGGGCACTGATGCCTCACATGTCCTTCTCCCAAACATTTTAAGCAGTCGGAGTGAGGCTCGCTGACTGGCCAGATTTGTTAGCACCAGAACAGCGCTTAAATCCATGGGATACAGGCATGTCCCCGTACAGAGCCAAAAGCTCGAAGGAAAGAAGGATAAAAACAAAGATTCTTTACGAAACGAGTATTACCTGTCTAAACTACAGCTACACTGCCAACTAAACTACCCGCTCGCCGTAACGATCTCTCAGGCTGTCTGCTAAAGGGACAATGGGGAAGAATGTGAGAAGATCACACAGGAGTTGACTATATACCACAGGCAGCAAGAAGGAACTGAGGGGGTCAGGGCAGCCCTGCCCCCTTGAACCCTTGGCTGGCAGCACAAGCGTGCAGAAGGCGCATGCAGTGCCCCCACAGGTCCTGGTAGAGGACAAAGTTCTCCAGTTTTGGTTTCCGGGCGCGCAGACACCGAAAGTGGAAGGGATGTGTGCAGGCACTCAGAGGAGAAGTTAGTGAATAGAAACCCCTGGTGTTTGAACAGGAGCTCTTGGCTCCCAGAGCGTGCAAGCCCCGCTCAGCTAGTCTCTATAGAGCTTTCCAGTTTCCTGGACCCAAGCCAATGGGCTAAAGGAATTTACACATTCAGACTACGGCTGCAGCATTCGTAATCTCCTTCAATCAGATACCTATTTAATGAGCTTAAAAACTACAACAGGGATGTCTGCGATCCTTCCAAGTGTCCTATACCAGACTAATTGTCTATGGATCTTAAGAACTCTTATGCTATGCCTCCAGACTTCACAATGTCCTAGACCCACAGCTCTTTGGATTGAGCAGTTTCCAAACCCTGCAGGCTTTATAAACTCCACAGAGACTTTGCAGAGCTCCCAGAAGTTCAAATATTCATAGTGACTAACTCCAGAATTAACTACCCAATATCTGGAGAATTGTTCCGGGCACCAGATCTCATTAAGGACAAAATTTTAAAAATAAAAATTTGAACTTGCTAGACCAGGTTGATTTTAGCTTTCCAAATAATTTCAGTGAGGAAAAATCCTGTTGTTCAAACTCTTATATCTTAAAGACACCTTGTCTGATTAATAGCAACATTTCCTGGAAAGGTCTCTTGTACCAAGAGAAAAAAACACAAACAAACACACACACCAGAAATTAAGCAGAAAGGAGCTCTTTCTGAAAAAGTTTTGTAACTGGAGAGGGAGGCTGCTCAAAATTGGGCTTAAACTAAAAATTGGCTACAAGTGTCAGACCCACGGTCCATACACATTTCATCAGCCGCTGTTAGATGATCCCCTGCAGTACCAAGGTGCAGTAGGAAGGACTGAAATTCCTAGTTAGCGTGTGATTAGATTAAACCCTAAACATTAGCTGAACATGGCATTTGCTACGTATTTAACATTGGACTCTATTTACAAAGGGAAAAGGAACCAAACAGAAGCAGTGAGCCAGGCTCGGCGTGTCCTCTGGGACACTGTTTCTAGCACCCATGCGAGCAGCACAGGGCTATGTACCACGTCTGTGCACGGTGCCATTCCATCCAAGTCTGTCTGTTGGGCCCGGGTCGGTCTTGGGGTACAGCTAGGCAGGCAGTGCCAAGGGGAAGCCTGGTAAAAGCTAAATCATTTCTCTTATTCCTCCGAAATCAACAGCAGTTGATGGTCAGTGTTCCGGGGAACACCTTGGGACTGGAAGCTACAGGCTACAAACAGCAAGGCCCTTTCAGTGGTGGACCCGAAAGAGACAAGGAGCACAGGGAGGGTGGATAACAGTACCTAATCCCGTCCCAGGCCAAACCTCCAGTGCCCCTGGGGCCAGGCCTACCTATTCCCAGAGGGCACTGCATTAGGGATTATGACCTGCGTCAGCTGCATTTTAGAGGCTGGCAGAGCATGTGCTGCAGATTTATAACACACATCCCTGATTATAGACCCACAGTCACCCCCTAGGTCAAAGCAATCTAAATGATTCTTAAGAATATTAATGTTCCTGCCCCATAACAGCCCCACACTGTCACCGGCTAAATGTACTTGCCAGCTGATTTGGCACTATGTGTGCATTCAGAACACACGTTGTTTGCAATTGACTCCCAGTCGCCGGACTGGCTTCACATCCCTGTTTTATCTGTCCTTGGTGTTTCAAAATCGGCTTTTTGTCTCCAGCTCAGGATTTGGCTTTGGTGGCTGGCGCAATGTTTTGTGACAATTCTCCCCACTGTGCAGCTCTTTGTAGTTGATCAGGCAGATTAGGAAAGCTGTCTGATGGGTGAAATTCATTTCTTTGACAATTTCTTGGCACACTGAACATCTCAACAATATATGCTCAGACCTAGGAGCTTCTGGAATGCCCACCTGCCCGAAAAATGTTATTTTGGCCTGAAGTGCATTATGTGATTTCCCCGCCCCCATTCCAGAGGATAAATTCACAGTCAGCCAGCCCTCGGTCACTTACACATAAAGATCCATAGGAAACTCTTTCATCATGTGTGTTACGATGAACTCCACCATCAGATCTGGGAGACCGGGGAGGAAAACGACAAAGTAAATGTATAACTAGCTGCAGTAACACCTGGCAGACAACAATAAGCACATCCAACTACCCCCACCCCCACCATGTCACAACAATCCTGGTTAGAAGCAAGAGAGATAATTTACTAAATAGTCTGAATTAGGCACCTCTTCTGAAAGCCCAGGGTGAAGCTACTGAGAGTAGCCTGGCATTTTAACGGGAAGCGCTCTGAGACATGCTTCCTCCATGCACTTTTCCCCGCACTGTTGTTTAAATAAAAAAACACATCACTAATTTTGATGCAAAGAATTGCACTCATATTTCAAACCTTAGCACCAATGGAAAATTCTGGTAGGAAGTATGTTTTAGAACGCAGTTGTCACCAGAGGCCAGATGTGTTTTACAGCTTTGTTTTCCGAGACGATAACGTAGAGGACATTCATAAATCTACACAATCAGCTCTGAAGCAAAGTAGATCCAGTCTTGCCTCAAGAATGACTAAACTCTTCTACATACTACTCAGTTTTAATCTTGGTCAGTTTCACAAGGGGTACATTTGCTAGAACATCAAGAGAGGCAGGCAAAACAGCCTTCCAGAGAGTCACGTTCAGCCCAGTTTGTCTGTTCCAGGCAGGCAAGGTGCCCAACAGTCACTTCCACTACCAAACATCTGTTTCTTTCCAGTCAGCTTTTTCTCAGCTCAGTCACCCAGAGACTGCTCATTCCCAGCCATCACCTTCCCCACCTAGACATTTGGATGGATTAGCCAATGAACTTTCCATTACTGACATTCGTTCAGCAATGGACGCGAGGTGTCTGATGCCTTTCGGAAAACCTGATGGTGAATGTGGCTTTCCACAGATCTAAAAGATGCAGCATGTTACATGGCACCGATCCTCCTACCTAATCTCACTAGAGGAAAGTGAGGGGGTGGGATGAAATGCACCCTGCTGAGAACTGAAATTCCTTGCACAGGTAATAGGTAGCCAGGAAACTCCCCCAAACTAAGCTGATTTCCTCCTCCTCACAGGAGATGGGAAGATCCCACCCTAGCAATACTCACCTAGGACTGCACACACCAGGGGGCGGCAGGGCAGGTTCTTGTCTGCGGCTTTCTTCCTGTGTCTCATTGGCTTCAAACACACAAAGAAGAAAGGAAGTCAGCAGATGCCTGCATGGTACCCAGCACATTATCACCTGCTTTCCATACAAATAAAATCACTACCACAGGCTCTCCTGTAGTTTTGGGCTCTTCCATTTCTGCCACCTCGGTTCTATGGCCACCGCAGTCCAGGGCACAGAGGGTTACCAAGGAGACAGCAGCTGGAACTTTGGTTACTTTGATTCTGAGCTGTGTAACTGGAGGGCGCTGTCGCACCAGGGCGCAGCGCTCTCCCTTGTGTTCCCCTGACCCAGAAGTTTGTTTTTCGCTCTCACAGTGACTGGAGTGCTACGTGGCTACTCTAACAGCTTAGAAAGACGATTCCCATTCCATGCTTGCTGCTGAGAAAGAGGGGCTGACAGCCTGGGGCTACGCTTGCTTTAAAAATAAAGAGCTTGAGTCTGTCCTGGCGTGGTCACACCGCCATCTCCCAGGCCACTGGCCGCCAATGGGGAAAAACTTTGCTGGAGAGCAATTCCAGTGGTGGAATGACCAGCTTGCGGGTCGGAGGTTTGGAGCCTGCAGCCAAGTCCCACTGAGGGAGCATGCACAAATTCACAACATCCTCTTGAAGCTGGGCTCCTGTCGACCCTTGGATGCAAATGAAAGGGCCTTCCTGCAGCAGAACCCCTGGGTCAAGACAGTGCTAAAAACACCCCATCCCCTACTTGAGGGGCAAATCACCCATCTGAAAAAGGGAGTGAACTGAGCTCAAAGAGGTTAGGGTCCACTACAACATGCACATTTACGTATCACATGGGGCCTAACGTTTGCTGAATCTTAAGGCAGACTGCTCCCAAACTGCACTAACTCCTCCAGTCCCCACAGACTTCCCATTACACATCGTCTCCCCGGCTACGCTGGCCAGATGCATCTCAAAAGCCAGCCCTCATCCAGCCCCTTGAGCGAGCCAGTAAGGAGCCAGGCTGCTCACTCCCCAGCTTAGCTCATTCCCTTGACGAGTCTTGAGCCTCTCCTGCCATGGCAGCGTTTCTTCCCCACACCTGCACCAGCAGGGATCACTGGGTTCTCATGTGCACTGGCCCCAGGCAGGGCGTCTGTGACACAACACACAACCAGCTGAGGACCCAACCTTGGCTTCAGCCGCCCCAAGGAGAAAGGAAGGAACCTGCGGGGAAGACTCACCATTCTGTGCAGGTTTACTCGAAAATTCACGTTGTCATCATGCAAAAAAGCATTTGCGTACTGATCCTATTGAAGAGAGCAAAGCCTGAGCTGAGAAACATCTACTGCATCAACTCCCCAGTAGCAACCCCCCTGCCCCAGGGCAAAACTCACAGCTGCAGGCAACTCAAGGTTAGAAAGCTGCCATCAGCAGGAAGAGGCGCTTGCCTGAGTCTTCTCTTTCCTGTTCCCAATTTGTGCCTCTAGTCAGACAACCCAAGCGACTCCACTTGCACAAACACCTGCACCAGAGTCATTTATTTCCCAGGCCTTTCTTTGCTCACCCACGTCGCAGACTCCACGTACAACAGTGCCAAGAACATTTTAATGTGGGCTGTAAAATGCACAAGGAGGTTCTCCTGCCTGCCTCTCATTCTTCGTCCCCGTGACAGAGCGAAGAGGAAGGGTTACAGTGGCAGCTTGATGGACCCATCACAGCAGAAGTTATGGCAGGACAGGCTGCTAGTAGGTGGCTCAGCAGCTCCAATCCTCAGGGAAATCTCATTCCAAATTCCACACTAAACCAAACGGCGTTCCATATAATACCCTGCCAAGTGTGGTAATAAATATCCCCTCCATTTAATACCAGGATCAAACATGCCTTTGCTAGACACAGGGGATATTTCTCTTCTCCCTTTGTCTACGTGCCTTTCTGATGAGAGCAGGTGCTAAGAATAGCTCATTCCTAACATTTGTAATGAAATCAGAGTTAACTAGCTCTTCTGCAGCACCTTGAACAAATACTTTATGAACCATGACTTTAAAAGCAGAGCACTCGGTGCAATTCTGCTGACTTTGCCACTCTGAAGCAGCAACATGCAGACCTCAGTGGTTCAGGAGCCAAATTAGCAATCAATATTATGCAAAAGAGCCACAGGAGTGGGAATTCATCGTTTCATTTACTAGAGCGCTATTCGAACATAAGAACGGCCAGACTGGGTCAGACCAATGGTCCATCTAGCCCAGTATCCTGGCTGATAGTGGCCAGCGCCAGGTGCCCCAGAGGGAATGAACGAGTAATCTTCAAGTGATCCACCATGGTACTATATATTCCTATTTAAACAGTGTGACAGAGAAATATTTAGTTTATATAGATTATTCTTATCAGCTACAATTGGTTAATAACACAGGAAAAGCCAACTGGTTCATAATTAAATTGCACAGTGTTTTCATAGCATCTGCTGCAAAGAGCCGCAGGAGACACATTAAAGAGCCATTCGTGAGCCTCAGTCTGAGTATCACTGCTCTAAATGGAAGGTTTTTACTTGTGGGCAACCAAAACCCTTTTCCAGTCGGGACCTGACCCTCTGGCTCCCCACCTGAGCAGTCTGCCCAGCAGGGTGACAACACCCACCTCCTTCAAGGCAGGAGAGGGACAACGTGGGCCCCGTCTGTGGAAGCCATGGCCACTCCCTCCAATGCTAGCCCCTGCTCCCTGTCAGGACTTGGGATGGCTGAAGAACAGCACCGTCTGCTTAGCATGAACAATGCGGAGTCAGGTGTCGTCAGTGCCTGGAACATCTCAAGGTGTCCCCTAGTGACCTAACACGCACGCCAAATGAGAGCGGAGCAGGTCTGAGTTCAGCATGCTCCCCACGTGTGACACAAGAAGCCGACACTCCCTGAAATGAGGCAACACTCCACTAGTTTAGGCTCAGTGCTAACAGCAGTAGTGCTGGACTTCACAGCAAAGGATTAAACCATCTCTAGCAGGGTTTCCATCTCCCTACCCCTCTGCAGTTCTCCAGTGCCCACGTGACAGGACGCAAGGGGAAGGGACACCCGCGTGGAGCCAGGGCGTCACATGAGACAGATGGCCGTATGCTGATGAGATGGGATCGTGTACGAGACCTACCTCTGCTATGCACGTCAGGATAATAAGACAGAGCTTGCCGCTGTGGAGCCGGTGTTCGTCTGCAAATGAACAAAACCAAGCCTACGTGAGCCACTAGGCCTTGTTGCGCCAACAGGTCGGCATGTGGACTCAGAGCATAAAGACTCTCCCTGGCTGAAACAGGGCAAGAGGCCAAGTATCAAACTCTTCACACACCTACTCACCCACCCTGCAAGAGTAAATAGTCTCACCGTGGCCCTAAAGCCATCTCCCCAGAAGCCGGACCACTACACCCCACTGAGCTATCGGGAGTCTCTGCCAACAACACAACATCAGATTTGATTTCTCCCTCAGCACAGGCGCTCTCGGGAGTGTGACAGAATACACCCTTCAGTCACACCCTACTCACTAGTGTAATGATCTTGGTACAAAGTGTGCCTTGTAAGGTAGCATTTGAAAACTCAATTTTTTGGTCAGTATTGTCCTGAGGAAATATGTGGCAATGTTGCATGTAAAGTTATAAGATTCCCCTGTACGGTGTTAACAACTCATGTTCCAAACCGCACAGCCCTGCTCCAACAGAAGTCTGCAAACAGGTCTGTCCTCGACAAAGGAACGTGCACTCTGCTTAACTTGCACTTAAGCAGTAAACAGAGTCATCAAGCAGGGTGGGAAACAAAGGAACCTCAACCAGGTGAGAAAAAGCAGCAGGGAACATCCTTCTGCATAGACTGTCTCCTAGTGCCCAACTGGAAATGTTTTTCAAGAGGGGGACTGAAACTATAAAAAGGAGGAAAAAACACCGCACTGCACCCCTCTCTCTCCTCCTGCCCATCGTATTCACTGCACCTGAAGGAACACAGGAAGCATTCACTGGACTCTGCGGGAGGGGTTCAGTCAGTAAGACTGCCGAAAGCACATGGTTAGAAATTTTGCTTGAATCTAATCTAGTTTGTTAAGTTAGGCATTAGTAAACATCTTCTCTTTATTTTCCTTGTAACCGTTTCTGACTTTTATGCCTCATTACCTGTACTCATGTAAAATTTCTTTGTAATTAATAAACTTGTTTTACTGTTTTATCTAATCTAGTGTGTTTAAATTGAAGTGTCTGAATCACTACTTGAGATAATGGACAGGAAAATTATTCCTTTTAAGGAATAACGGACGTAAAATATTTTGTTCTCTCCAGGAGAGGGCTGGGCGCTGCAGGACATACATTTTTTGGGGGGGGGAAGTGTCTGGGACCAGGGGTGTGTTGGGGTCACCCTGCAGTGTAATCAAGGCTGGTGAGAACCAGAGAGTAACCCAAGTGTGGCTGGCAGGCTGCAGTTAGACACACACACAGAGTGGCTTACATGCTGGGAGGCTGTTTGTGAGCAGCCCAGGTGGGAGCTACTGCAGCGAGGCATTGTGAGGTGCCCAAGGGGGTGACACAGCTGCTCATCAGTCTGGATTGCACCCTGGTACGTCGCAGAGGGGTCTCTCTCTGGCTCACCTGTTTGCCTTTCCCCAATACTCGGGATGCAGAGCTTAGCCCCTGGCCAACACTCCAGGTGAAAAGCCCTTCCTCGAGCACCACAACTGCCCTTCCGTCAGATCTCCGAGGGAGATCGGTTTTGTTGCTTACACCAGCCGGAACATTACGCAGAAGAGCTCTGGCAGACAGGCAGTGCAGTAGTGCACTGACCACGGTGCTGACGGACAAAGACCTGAGCTCTAACCACAGCATTCACGGAGACTCAAGGGTGCCTAGAGACTTGTCCCAGGTGCGAATGATGGCTAGAAAGCCTGTGAGGGCTTATTTTTAATGTTAAGGGCTTCCCCACACCCACCACTTGCTTTTCACCTCAGAAATTCAGGCCCTGTCTGCCCTGGAACTCTATGGGACAACTAGAAGGCTGGCAGAGTTATCAGAACCTAAATATGAAGGAACTGATTGAGCAGGGAAGCAATTTTTATTCAGACTGTTTCAAACTCTGCTTTTATTTTGTTTTCCATTATCACTGATCGAATAATTGAGAACCATGTGGGAGAAAGGAATCCCCATTCGGAGTCTTCACCCCAGCCTGCAAAGACAGCTCCCAAGTCACAGTTCTGAGACCTCCAACAAATCCTCCAGAACACCAGGGAAGACCAGACTGGACATTCTGGCTGGTTTTAAAGTAAAACACAAGAAAGAGATTTTGAAAACACAGGCCACCTTCATACAGCAGAAAAGCGTGTTAACCCATGCCCCCTCCAAAAGCCTTTGGTGACACTGCATTCAGGACAGTGCATACAAACATCCCACATTGAATTTGCAAACAGATCTGACTCTGGGCTGCTGGCTCTGCTCAATGCTAGGACATGTGATTATTAAAGGGAAAATGAGCCCCAGAGGGTGTGAATTTTAACCTGCTGTATTGAGTAAACATAAGGGCACAGCGGGTTGAGCGTCACACAGGCATATTTCCCTACTGAGCCCAGACTTTTCAAAAGAAGGGAAAAGTTTTTCTCTTCAGGAAGGAGGAGCAGTGGCCTTCAGGAACTCCAATACACGAGAGCCTTGTTATCTTTCTATTACAAGATCTCAAGGCTTATTTCAAAGGTGCTGCTTCCATGTCTCTTCTCCAGGGATTAGGCTGGAAGCGTTACTGCTGCACACTAAGTATTCATGCTTTAGCCTGCTCAGGTCATTTCCAGCCGCGCATTATAGGCGAGGTGGGCTGTTATTCATAGCAATCCTTTTCATCTTCCAGTAGGGGATCTGAAAACCCTTTACAAACACTCAGTACAGCAGGGAAACATCAATGCTCCTGTGGAATGTACGTCAGTCTGAGCCCTAGTTTACAGATGATCCCTCTCAAGGCTCCCCTGACTATGGGGTCTGGCAGAGAGGGGCTAATTAGACGGGATTCTGATAGAATGGATGGGTTTTAAATTACACCTTCCGGGGCAGGGGTGGAACAACTGTGCGGGCCTGGAGTCAGAGCAAGTGGACATCACTCACATGTACCCACCCCAAGACAGAAGTGATCCTGTAGCATCACTGGCTCTCTTCTTTCCCATCCCTCCATGGGATATTGGCCTTAAATGCTTTCTCGTTTCATAAAACGAATGGCCAAAGGAAGGTCACTTGGGAGCCCCTATTTACCCACTCAGAAAAGAGAAGCAGGGGATACACCCAAAGAAATTAAAAGGCTCCACATTTTAAAAGGATCTGGTTGTGGAACTTGTTGTCACAGGACGCTCTCACTGCAAAGAGCTTCGTGGGGATTAGCCGTTGAGGGTGAACCTGCACTGCCTGGGGCAGCCCACAGCAGGAAGCCTTCCAGCCTGGCGCACAGAGCCAGGCCCACGGCAGCGGGTTAAAAACAGCCACGTGGACATTGCAGCTCGGGCTCTCAAGGCCACCCTCCTCCGCTTCAGAGCCTGAGCTCAACACCTGCACAGCTATTTGGAGCACGAGCCCCGCAAGCCCAAACCCGGTGAGCCAGGCTGGGAGACGCGCTGCTGTGGGCTGCACAGATGTACCCTATACAAACCTCAAACATGGGTACCCAAGCTAGGTAAAAAGTGTTAGGATATAGATATTCAGGCCTGTCTGTAAAGGCCTATACTCTAAGAATTTAGGTGTATTCTTATCACTTGGCTAGTTATAGAGGTACAAAAGAGAGAGTCAAAGTCACTGTCTGCCGGTGTAGGGGCCTTCTCTTGCTGTGACAGTTTGTGGCCCTGTGTTTGGGCTGGGGCCTTTGGCTGAGCAGCAGAGGCAGCCATAAGCTAGGAAGCGAACAGTCACATCCTCACATTCCAAACTAGTCACATTGAAATAAGGTGCTATTGAGCTGTTAGGCACTATCAGGACAGGATTGTATTCCTATCACCTCCAGAGAAAGGAAAGTGCCTAGAAAATGTAAAAGGAAACTTAGTTTGATAGCATCCTGTCTGGCAAGAATTGACTTATCAATAGCTGGGATGTGAAATCCTCACTTCTGTATTGTTTTGTCATTATAGTTCCCACTTTGCTATGGTTTATCTGTATAATCTCTGTCTGGTTCTGTGATTGTTCCTGTCTGCTGTATAATTAATTTTGCTGGGTGTAAACTAGGTGGTGGGATATAATTGGTTACATAATCATGTTACAATATGTTAGGATTGGTTAGTTAAATTTCAGGAAAATGATTGGTTAAGGTATAGCTAAGCAGAACTCAAGTTTTACTATATAAACTGTAGTCAATGAGGAAGTGAAAAGAAAAGGAGTACTTGTGGCACCTTAGAGACTAACCAATTTATTTGAGCATGAGCTTTCGTGAGCTACAGCTCACTTCATCAGATCTGAAGTGAGCTGTAGCTCACGAAAGCTCATGCTCAAATAAATTGGTTAGTCTCTAAGGTGCCACAAGTACTCCTTTTCTTTTTGCAAATACAGACTAACACGGCTGTTCCTCTGAAATGAGGAAGTGAGTGGGTGTGGGTGGGGAAAATGGGAACAGGGAATGGGGGTAAGGAAATTGGAATCATGTTTTGCTAAAAGGGGAAATGGGAACAGGGAATGGGGCTGGGGAAATTGGAATCATGTTTGGCTAAGGGTAGGAATGGGAACAGGGACACAGGTGTAAGGCTCTGTGGTGTCAGAGCTGGGAAGGAGGACACTAAGGAAGGAAACTGGAATCGTGCTTGCTGGAAGTTCACCCCAATAAACATCGAATTGTTTGCACCTTTGGACTTCGGTATTGTTGCTCTCTGTTCATGCGAGAAGGACCAGGGAAGTAAGTGGGTGAAGGAATAAGCCCCCTAACAAAAAGCTGTGGGGGGGAACATAAAGGGACACCAGCCTCCATCCATGAGGACAAATCAGCCATGGGCTGCCTGGGTTTAGGAAGAAATCCCCTCCACAGACATGTTCTACAGTGCTGGGTACTTTGTCAGAGCTCAAATGATACATAACAGCAACATTATTTGTGGGGTTCCACTTATCTTCATTCAGTGTAAAACTGGACAGACAACAGTGTGCTTGCAACAGGTTGAAATCTGGCACAAAAAATTGTTCACATGTGCAATACTTGCTCATGCGAGTGATCAGGTGCAGTGGTGCTAATCGAGCGGTCTTCTGCACACCTGGCCAGGGATGTGTCAGTGACACGTTACCAAAGCTTCCACTCCCAAGTGTAAAAAGTGTAAAAAGCCAGGAAACAAAAGCCATCAGGAACAGTATCCCCGATAATGTCATGGCAAACCTGGTGTCTGAACTTTGTGACTTTGTCCTCACCCATAACTACTCCACATTTGGGGACAAATCAGCGGCACCGCTATGGGTTCCCGCATGGCCCCACAGTATGCCAACACTTTTATGGCTGACTTAGAACAACGCTTCCTCAGCTCTTGTCCCCTAATGCCCCTACTCTACTTGCGCTACATTGATGACATCATCATCATCTGGACCCATGGAAAAGAAGCCCTTGAGGAATTCCACCATGATTTCAACAATTTCCATCCCACTATCAACCTCAGCCTGGACCAATCCACACAAGAGATCCACTTCCTGGACACTACAGTGCTAATAAGCAATGGTCACGTAAACACCACCCTATACCGGAAACCTACTGACCGCTATTCCTACCTACATGCCTCCAGCTTTCATCCAGACCACACCACACAATCCATTGTCTACAGCCAAGCTCTACAATACAACCGCATTTGCTCCAACCCCTCAGACAGAGACAAACACCTACAAGATCTCTATCAAGCATTCTTACAACTACAATACCCACCTGCTGAAGTGAAGAAACAGATTGACAGAGCCAAAAGAGTACCCAGAAGTCACCTACTACAGGACAGGCCTAACAAAGAATATAACAGAACGCCACTAGCCATCACCTTCAGCCCCCAACTAAAACCTCTCCAACGCATCATCAAAGATCTACAACCTATCCTGAAGGATGACCCATCGCTCTCACATATCTTGGAAGACAGGCCAGTCCTCGCTTACAGACAGCCCCCCAACCTGAAACAAATACTCACCAGCAACCACACACCACACAACAGAACCGCTAACCCAGGAACCGATCCTTGCAACAAAGCCCTTTACAAACTGTGTCCACATATCTATTCAGGAGACACCATCGTAGGGCCTAATCACATCAGCCACACTATCAGAGGCTCGTTCACCTGCACATCCACCAATGTGATATATGCCATCATGTGCCAGCAATGCCCCTCTGCCATGTACACTGGCCAAACTGGACAGTCTCTATGTAAAAGAATAAATGGACACAAATCAGACGCCAAGAATTATAACATTCAAAAACCAGTCGGAGAACGCTTCAATCTCTCTGGTCACTCGATTACAGACCTAAAAGTTGCAATTCAACAAAAAAACTTCAAAAATGGACTCCAACGAGAGCCTGCTGAATTGGAATTAATTTGCAAACTGGATACAATTAATTTAGGCTTGAATAAAGACTGGGAGTGGATGGGTCATTACACAAAGTAAAACTATTTTCCCATGTTTATTCTCCCCCACCCCGACTGTTCCTCGGATGTTCTTGTCAACTGCTGGAAATGGCCCACCTTGATTATCACTACAAAAGGTTCCCCACCACCCCCCACTCTCCTGCTGGTAACAGCTCACCTTACCTGATCACTCTGGTTACAGTGTGTATGGTAACACCCATTGTTTCATGTTCTCTATGTATATAAATCTCCCCACTGTATTTTCTGCTGAATGCATCCGATGAAGTGAGCTGTAGCTCACGAAAGCTTATGCTCAAATAAATCTGTTAGTCTCTAAGGTGCCACAGACTAGTGTAGACTAGTGTATACAGACTAACACGGCTGCTACACTGAAACAAAGCAAAGAGTGTAAACATATCACATGGCCCAGCAGCATCTAAATCTAACTACAACAGGGAATCACTGAAGTCCCCTTTACTAATTCCATTGCCCCTCGTATCACCCATAGGTGCTGAAGGGCACACAAGGTTTCACACCTGGAGTGGAGTTCTGATTCCTGTGGCAGTCCTTTAATGTTCTTAGAAATCCAGGATCTGTGCGGTTTGAATTCTCCTCCCATCCCATAGAGCTTGGAATTGGATCCGCTTATGCCTCCCGGAGAGGGCCATGCTGAGACTCCCTCAGTTATTATGCACTACAATTTTCCCCTTCTATATCTTGCTTCCTTCCCTCCAGCACTAGGTCTCCCCAAGACCCATGTAATTACCATCCAGCAAGGAAAAATTAGTTCAGAGCTTTCAGCCTCCACAGGGAGACCAGGTAGGGTCTGTATGCGGAGTTCCATTAACATCGCTCCACCGCCTGGACCCAGGGCTCACTCGACAATAGGATCTGGTTACCTTTTGTGTCCTGCATGACAATCGAGCTGTACTTTAAGAAGGTTATCAGCAGGTTGCTAGTCTGCACATCAGCATCCAAAGGCAGCTCTGCAGAGCTTATAACTGGAATAAAGCAGAAGAAAAGCATTTACCCTCTGCATATCACATACAAAAAGCAAGGGGAAGATACTCAAGGAACTTGATTCTCAGATGTTAGTGTCTGAGTGTAATGAACACATTTGTACATAAGAACAGCCAGACTGGGTCAGACCAAAGGTCCATCTAGCCCTGTATCTTGTAACATCTTTTTTCATACTGCAACACTCTGCCTCATTCACTGCACACTTTCCAATTTTTCCAACGAATGAAGCAGGGGTCCTACAGACAACGGTCTCCTCCACTACACAACCCTGATTCATGCCCAGAACAAGTCCATCCTGTGCACTGAATGAGGCAGGGTCCTATGGAAGAAATAGCATGTGATCATGTAATTAAAGACTGTACGATAATGTATACACAAGGGGGCTGAATTCAGATTGCACAGGCAAACTAAATTCTGTCATCTCCTAGCTTCTGAATGCTTTGCAAGCTTATTATTCTTTTAATGAACATAAGAACGGCCAGACTGGGTCAGACTAAAGGTCCATCTAGCCCAGTGTCCTGTCTTCTGACAGTGGCCAGTGTCAGTGCCCCAGAGAGAATGAACAGAACAGGGAATCATCAAGTGATCCATCCCCTGTCGCCCATTCTCAGCTTCTGGCAAACAGTGGCTAGGGACACCAGCCCTGCTCATCCTGGCTAATAGCCATTGATGGACCTATCCTCCAGGAACTTATCTAGTTCTTTTTTCAACCCAGTTATAGTCTTGGCCTTCACAACATCCTCTGGCAAGGAGTTCCACAGGTTGACTGTGCATTGTGTGAAAAAATACTTCCTTTTCTTTGTTTTAAACCTGATGCCTATTAATTTCATTGGGTGACCCCTAGTTCTTGTGTTATGAGAAGGAGTAAATAACACTTTCTTGTTTACTTTCTCCACGCCTGTCATGATTTTATAGACCTCTCTCATATCCCCCCTTAGTCGTCTCTTTTCCAAGCTGAAAAGTCCCAGTGTTATTAATCTCTCCGCACACGGAAGCTGTTCCATACCCCTAATCGTTTTTGTTGCCCTTTTCTGAACCTTTTCCAATATAATTTTTTTTAAATTGGGTGACCACATCTGCACTCAGTATTCAAGGTGTGGGCGTACCAGGGATTTATACAGAGGCAATATGATAGTCTCTATCTGATTATCTATCCCTTTCCTAATGATTCCCAATATTCTGTCTGCTTTTTTGACGGCCGCTGCACATTGAGCGGATGTTTTCAGAGAACTACCCACAAGGACTCCAAGATCTCTTTCCTGAGTGGGAACAGCTAATTTAGACCCCACCATTGTGTATGTACAGTTGGGATGATGTTTTCTAATGTGCATTACTTTGCATTTATCAACATTGTAGAGATCATCTGATCTTCCACTCCCCAGTCAGAGGTCTTGTGTCACAGCGAGTGGGGCTCAGCTTCTTCCAGAGCCCACCTCTCCTGCTCCGAGCTCTGGCAAAGGGTCCCAGCTCTCCCCTCCTCCTGACCCCATGCGTGCAGATTACACTGCTGCTTTGGCACTTCAGCGCCTACCAACCCCAGAGGCGACATGAGACTAATTCCAGCAGTCAGTGCAGATGAGGGTTACACCATTTTCATTTGGAGAGGAACGTGCCTGGGAAAGGCCCTGCTGAGCTTCAATAGTGGGATTTGAGCCCTTAAGAAACAACTCTGAAGAGGTTAAGAGCCAATTGCATGCCAGCCTCCCTCCCTTTTCTCTCTGGGGCATCGAAAAGTGCCACCTTCTCCTGAAGGAACAGTACAGAGCTGAAAAGCAGCGGCACTGAGCGAGGGGCTGGGTGACCAAGGAGCTTTGCTGTAGGCCAATGCAAAGATTTTTTTTTAAATGCCCACCAGTGTTTCCCAACCTAAAGCTTTACAGGCAGCAGCTCCACAGATTCACAACAGACAGAAGCCAAGGCGATCACGGCTTATGCGAGCAAAACCGAACCGCAACATGGCCAGGATGGGGTGAGCATTTCTGATACAGATCCTGCTCCCGTCCTCCATGCCTCCGACACCTCAACGTGAGGTACGTCTGCAGTGTGCTCTGCAGGCGGCTGCCAGTTACCCAGCTAACTCCCCTCCGCTCAGGTCCCAAGCCTCAGCCACCTCGATCCTGGGCTGGACTCGGGCAGTTCTCTTGCTCTCGGACTAGGCTGCAGCACCCTGTGATCAGCCTTGCTCATCTCAGCAGGTCTGACAGGCTACGTCTATGCGATTCCCGGCGCAGGAAGACATGTGTGTGCTGGCTTGGATTGAGCTGGCATGCTAAAAATAGCCGGGTGCCTGCAGAGGCGAGCCGTGAGCTGGCCACCCCAGTACAATCCCCTTCCAGAGCCTAGGTATATGCTAGGGTGGCTAGCCTCAGGCAGGCCGCCAGGGCCACACTACTATTGGCGGTATGCTGCACAGACAGCACTGACCCAGGAGCCCAGCGGCCAAACAGTCTGCTCACAACAAAGCATTATTTATTTAGAACCAAGGCATTTCCGGTCTTAAAACAAGAGCTGGGGAAGACCCAACTAGCTCAAGCTATCTCCACAGTGTCTGTTGGCCTGTCCCTCTGGGCAGCTCCTGGCAGCGGACCCACTCCCCGGCTCACTCCTGAAAAGTTGTTTGCGACCCTTTGATCTGCTAGTTCCTGCCTGTGTCATTTTTGGCAGGCGCCATTGCCCTGCAATTGCCCCTGGTGTTTGTTGGGAGGCTGCTTCTCTATAGCCCCTTACGTTGCTCTCCTGCCTGCTCATCCGACAGCTCCCCTAGAATGAAAGCACAATGCCTGCCCTTCCCCCAGACACGTAGCCCAGGCTCTCTCAAGAACCAGGGGCCATGCCCCTTCCACAGCTCCATGGCCAACACAGCAGCTACCCCTCACATCAGCCGGGGAACCAAAGCCGGTGCAGGACCTGGCAGCCCGTGTGCTCAGCAGCATAGCATGACATTACCGCTCTGCGATCTGCACCGGCTGCCCGGGGGCTTCCAGCTGGAGTTCAAGGTGCCGTTTTAGACCAATTGAAGTCCTAAGTAGCTTGAGACCTGCTTACCTGCAGGAACCCTTTTTTTCAGGCCATACAGCCATAGACCTGGTCTCATTAAAGGCATGAGCTGGACCCACTTTTGGATGGGAGAAGGAGCTGCTAGCAGCTCCAAGGGGCCCTGGTCTCTGGAATCCACTCCCTCTTTTCCATCTGCCTCCAGAGCAAGCCCAAAGCCTATCTCTTGGCCTGGCCTTTTGGGGAGAGAAAAGTAGCTAGAGCTTGCAAGAGGATTTGGGATGAGAAGAGACTGCTGGTTTGATCCCTTATGCGACTGTATTTTTAATTTATGTAAAATGCACTTGGAGGCTGGGACAGGAGCCTTTACATCAATAACTCTAAATAAATACACAGACCGCCTCTCCCTGCTCAAACTGCCTGTTGAACCCCACCACCCCGCGGCGAGCTAAGTAAGGGTTAGAGCTCGGATGAGCAAACAGGCACGGAAGGGGGAAGGGATTTATCCAGAAATAGCATCCAGGAGCCCAGAGTCCAAGGCCTCTGCTCTAAGTACCGATCAGCAGGGCTTCTCTAACGACTGTACCTGAGCACGGCCGCACACGGACCTGAGAAGACCAGTGTTCCATGCCCAGCAACAGGAGACTGAACTCACAGGAAAGTTCCAGCCCCAATCAGGTTTCTGGCCCTGCGGCTCTAAGTCAGATACCTTAGGATATTTTCATTTTTAAAAGCCATCTAACTTAACCGGCACTGACATGCAGAGGGGCCCAAACAATAGCTCATAGAGGTCTGTGTGCTCATCTCTAATACAAGGCTGCGGTCCACAGAGATGACGGGGCCATGCAGTCAATGGGGCCTGGCAGTTTGAATCAAACTGGAGTAGTGCAGGATGGGGCCTTCATTTGCTGGGGGCTGCACTTCTCCAGGGTCTGCAAGCGCCTCCATTTAATGCAGAGGCTCTTGACATGTTGCTAACGTGACTCTCAAACAGCAAAGTCCGTGCACCCCTCTGCTGTGGGATTGGAAGCCTTCTTATCCCCAACATTATGAATTGCCCATGAAGATTTAGCCAAGGTCAGCAATATGCGTTCACATCCATACTGGCTCCTTCCAGAGCCGCTATGATGAATGCAGTTGATGAATATTAAACAACAGTAAGCAAATCAGCATTTAGATACCATGGTGACAGGCACCTTAGATTTGTATATTACGGATGCACAGTTCACAGCAAACAGAAAAAGTCTTATGAAAAAAAAATCACTCTGCAGAACCCATCACTGCTGAACCCAGTTAACCCTACAGCTATAGCTTTTGTATGAAGACATAGGCTTTATTTTGAAACTTTAAAAGGGCTTAATTCATGGGAGAGGCTAACAGCTAGAGGAATTTCAATTCAGAACACAAGCCTGTTTTTAAACCTAAGCTGCACAGAAGAGTGCCTGGAACCCATACATAGATTTCTGCATGCTTTGTATCTTGAAAATAGCTTGGCTTATTTATTTTTTTAATGCATCAGAAAGAAAGAAAAAAAAGCCTTCCATTCTAAAGCTGAAATGTCTTGTGCTAACTCTAAGCCGAGAGCAAATTTTACAGTTGAATTGCAAAACCCTGCAAAATGAGAGGAATTCTGACATAGCTTGAAAATAACCGCACTGCTGGGGAGCAGCCCTGTAATTAAACCAAACCTAGGCTCAAGCGCTTGGCGTCGCAGAGAGGCTGGAGCAAAGATAAGACGACAGGGAACGTAAATGAAAAATGCCTCTCAACATGATCCCTGCAAGTTAAGATCAACTCCCTTTTCTTAAGCTTAAGAACCCTCCGAGCAGCGGGGAGCCGCCAGTGAAGGCTGAGCTCCCTGTGTCTGTTCAAAGGGGGCTGACTTCTCTCGCTAAATGAAAAAAGGAGCTGGTTGTAGGTAAGCACAATCCTGTCGGTTGTGTAAGGAAGCGTGTGGGTGGAGACATTAGCAATGAACAGTCTGAAAGGAAGCGCCTGGCCCGCTGCCTCACACAAAGCACATACACGGGGAGGCTCGAGACATCTTTTTTTTAACTGAAGCTTTTGATATCCATGGTAACCAGGCAGAATTCATCCTTGTGGAGAAGAATAGTCTTCAGCCGGGGTATCAAATGACCCGAACAGCAGACACAAGAGGGTAACCCATGCTGCTCTCACTTCAAGACATTGCCAAATTGTGCTCTATTCAAACAGACTCCATTCTTCTATTAAATGCTTTCTTCAGACACTGATGGTGCAAGGGAAGTTAGTGACAAATGCTGCTAGATTTCTCAGAGTGGGTTAAGTCTACACAATCTCAAATAATGAGCCAGTCTATACAGCTCTCGTATGCATTAATGCACACATTAAAGTATCTTGTTTAGAACAACCAGGCCCCCAGATCTCAGTTTAAGCCGTCATTTAAAAAGCCGGTCTGAAGAATGGGCAGAGGCAATAGAGAAATAGCTTCTGCTTCCCAAACAGCTTGGATTCAAATCCTAGGTTAATTTCCAGCTGAGAACAAGTAGGCGCCCACTGTGACTAACTGCCTGGGAGATGAGCTCTACCGAAACCTCCTAAACATCAGACACATCCATAAACAAAGCCCTTAAAAAAAACATGAATTGTGTGGCTGCATCCGTGTGGAGACACACCGGGACAGGGGGGCTGTGTCAGTCCTCTTCTAGCAAGATGTGGCTTTAGCTATGGCTTTGGGAAAGATGCCAGCAGTTCCTCTGGGCAGCATACAGAGCAGAGATTCTATGTGATTCTTCTTATAAGTAGCAGAAATAAAAAGCCATCTAAAGTGTCCTCTGGTTCTGCTTAACAAACCAGGCCTCCCAGGAAGACAACAGGAAATCTGTCTCCAGACAGAATGGGTTAGCTGCCACCTTGAAAAAGTGCTTTGCCATTTATTTTATGGTTCATTTTAAATGCTAACACCCACAAGAGGATTAAACATCTCACCATCTGAAGAAGGCGGAGTGGTCCCGAGTGGAGTGACTGGCGTTGTTGGAATTGGGCTTATCGGCACTGTCACCAACCCCATTTCTGGATGGCTCTGAAGCAAAAACACATGATCTCAAACACACACATTTTATATGGAGCAACACCCACTAGGCGTATTACCCCAGATGACACAGGCTGCAGATGTGTCGGCAGACACCAGAGCTCAAGTCAGCAGGTGTTCAGCCACCACCCTAAACAGCACAGGGGATAGATGGCCCAGTGATTTGGGTAGTAGCCTCAGAGTTGGGAGACCTGGGTTCAAGTCTCTGCTCCACCACAACCTGCCTGTGTGACCATGGACAAGTCACTTAGCTTCTCTGCATCAATTCCCCAAGCTGTGACATATGGGAGACCAGATGACCTGGTGGTCCCTGCTGGCCTTAATCCCTGTGACTTCTGTGTGCAGTGGGGATAGGAGTAGTGTCCTGCCCCACAGGGTGTGTGAGGGTTGTAAGGCACACAGATACTATGGTGATGGGGAAGACACAAACCCACCCCACTAAGAGCTTTTGGTCAACCCCCCCCAGGTGTTTTCAGAATGACCCTGGAATATTTAATACCTGCCCTTCCAATCCTCCTCTGCCCTTTTAAAATGGGATTCTCATTTGTTTCATGGGTTCACATTTTAAGAGAACGGCAATTGACTATGTTCCTGCCCTGCTGAAAAGCGTGAGGGTTCAATAGAAGACAGCACTACAGAAACATCATCATCCATCTGTTCTGCTTCCTTCAGTTGCCTTTTCTCCCCAGCGCCTCTTCACTAACTGCTCCAGGCCTAATTGCTGGTCGAACCTTATTCACGACAGGTGTACGAAGGATTTGAAAGTTAGGGACCGTGTTGTAGAACTACTAGAGGGATGTAAATCCACACATTTTATGGGAAGCGTGGGCACTTGCTACCACTCAAAGTCCAATCGAGGAAATATAGCTTTAAAATACATTTTCCATTGAAAATATGTTTTCTCCCATGCAATAAAACCAAGGGGTTTCGCCCCCACCCCTCAAAAAAATCCAGCTGTCAGCCAAGGTATATAGCGCCACCTAGCAGCAAGAGATTAATACGAGCAGGTTACAAGGAGCTACAAAGACAATGTAATAATAATACTATGAATCTAAGTTTAGCCAATTTCGCAGCTCCCCGGGCCATGCCTAGGTATCAGTGGTTGGAGATTCCTGCAATACTGGGGCAGGCAGAGAATGCGATCTGAGCCATAAGTTTCTTCCATTATTTTTATGGTGCTTTAAGTCACGTTATGCCCTACTTCGGACAAGGGTTACTGACAGCCCACCCAATGGCTTCATCAGGTCAGTACATCCCAGTGTGTGCCTGGGCCTGTCTAGGGCTGCCTCCAATCACGGGCTGGCAGCACGACCAGACTCATTACTGTCTGCCCCCAGCGTATCTGCTGGGTGTGCAAACCCACAGGGCATTTAGAGAATCAGCCTGAGCTTTTTGATCAAAGCTATGGATGCATCCACTGCTCTTCAGGCACACACCCGGCTTTTATTGTTCCCCTTCACAGACTGATACTGCAGTTCTCAAGACAGGACAATTTACCTACAAAAAAGTTTAACTTCATCACATTCTCCAAGCATGTTTGTACAGAAACTAGCGTTTGAAACAAGACTCTTGTTGTAGCTGTTTATTCTCTAAAACAAACTGCTGAACTGTGGGGCCACACAGGGGATCAGAGATTAGATTCCTAGCTTCCAGGCTAGCAGGGAACAGCCCACCCTCCACAGTGCTTTCTGATCAGACCCTCCAGCCAACCGCAGGGCAGCATTAACAGGGTTTAGAGGGAGTCACCTCGAGCCCTTCCCAGACACAAAAATGGGTCAGTCTGACACAAGGCATCCCCCAGAAAACTTCTCCCAAAAACCTTTTTAATTCTTTTCTGTGGCAGAGTGGGAAATAAGGGGTGCTGCATTTCCTAAGTCACCCTGAATCCGGGCCCTAGCCTGCTTCTGGTCCCACCTGACTAGGAACTATAACGAAACCCCAAAGGCTCCAGGGAAGGAAAGATGGACTGACTGATCTAACTGGTCTTCTCCAACCCTGCCATGGATCGGCTGTTGAAACGCTTTGGGATTACGCTCCCTCCCTCCCCGCCCAACAGGCATGGAAAGGAAACACACTGAATGGGGCCCCACCTGTGCCAACACGGTGATGAAGTTGCGGTTTAAATGAACGGCTTCGTAGAGGGCCAGAAGAATCGCCTCATTCGTTCTGCAAGAGCAGCAGAAAAGCAGAGTTAGGGTCAGGGCTGCACTCTGGGGACAGCCATCAGAGCAAAGGATTTTCTGAAGCGACTCATGATTTGGTGAGCCCAGCCGGAAACACCTTCAAGGGGTCTGTTTCAGAAGGGGCACGCGCCCACCCTCTGAGAGCCGAGCCCTTTTTATTTAAGGTGCATTGAGTTGGGCACCCCCAATTACTTATCACTTTTGAAGACCTTAGCCATGGTCTTGGACCCCCTTGACCTTCCACCAAAGGACTTGCCTTGCTCCTCACTCTCAGCATTGCTTCCTCTTAAAGTCCTTGCATGAGAGCACAGAGCAGCCGGCTGCCTCCACCATTGCCGTGTTACATTGGGCTGGGCACGGAGGAGCAGCTTTTACCCTCCTGATTGGAAAGGTAAGCGCTCCTTGGGGCAGGAGCCGTGTCCCCCACTATGATCTCCAACCCCGAACACAAGAGTGGTGCTCCATGAGCAGTAATTCCCCTCCCACTCCCTACATCCAACACTCGCACACAGCATTACAGAATGCTCCCCAGAGCCAGCCTGCCCATGGCTCCTACAGCCCCAGCCGCTTCTTTCGAGTCCCAGCCTCGCCCGTCATTTGCAGTTGCAAGGAACAAATTTGGTTGCCAGGCCAGAGCGGACGTCGCTTCGGCTTGTTTTCCTACATTAAAATGGCCCCATAACGGAAGAGCAGCAGGTGACATTTTGCGATTCAGAACCAGCAAGGTACATTGCCGTTCGCTGTGCGGACAATGTCTGTGTACTTACTGGACGGAGATTTTCTCATCAGCATCGGCTATGAACATGCTGCCCACCTATGGAAGGAAAGAGCATTGCACAGTTTTATGAAGAACAGTAGCGAAAGCTGTTGCCACTGCTTACAGCTAGCAAGAGCAGGCAGGGACAGGACCTGAACGCTGAAAGGCCCTGCTTGGCTTGTAGACGAGGAGCAGGGCAAGGGAAGTCCCACAGCTTCCTTCTCCAGGTGGCCATGAACTGCCCCTGGAAGAAGCCTCCCCCAGGACACATCTCGTAGCTACAGCGAGCCCCCACTCAGATGACGAAAGACGATGACTGATTCCCAGAGCTGGATCTCTGAGTGGGCTCCCCACACAGCCACAGACAAAAGGTTTATGGCAATGCCTTTCCCAGCGCTTTGTGCAGCAACACTGCTTTGTGTCGGGCAGCTTCTGCAGAAGAGCAGCGATTATTTATTTTACGGCAAAGGCTGCTTAAAAAGAGTCACGTGCAGCTTTTAAAATGAGAATGGAGAAGAAAATATTTCTGATTCTCAACCAAAAAACAGTGCGCTCCTTGCAAAGCACCGCAATAGGATCTGTGGTGTCATGCACATTGCTCACTCTCCCTCTTCAGAGCCTGATCCAAGCTCACTGAAGTCAGTGGAAAGACTCCTGCTGAATTCAGTGGATTTTGGATCAAGGTCTCGCAAAGTCCCATGTACTTTATTTATCTTTTAAGTACTGAAAAAAATGCTCTTTCCTCACTCACCATATTGGTTAAGGCTGAGAAAAAGCCACTCTGGTGCTCCTCTTCCTTATCTTTGTACTGCCTGAACAAACAGGGTGACAGCAACAGAGAGTGGGAAGTTACACACAGAAAAAGGGTCATTTTATCCAAATCCCCATACAACAGACATGACAGGTCAGGACAAGAGCTGGAGAGCGCATCAACATGCATGTTGACTTTTCAAGGAGCTTGTTAAGAGAGTTGCAAAGGGAGTTCAAATCCCTGTTACGGGACAGCCTATGCAGCGGTGGGGTGGCCAGGTTGGTCTCTGGATATTAGAGATATTGGGGTTATTGGGGATATCTCTGGATATCCCCAACTAAATCATCCCTGGCTGGGATGATTTAGTTGGGGATTGGTCCTGCTTTGAGCAGGGGGTTGGACTAGATGACCTCCAGAGGTCCCTTCCAAACCTGATATTCTATGATTCTATGAACTCTGGAAATCAGTTTTCATTACCTGGGCTGATGGTTTCCAACCCTGGGGCACACAGAGAAGCCTTTAATCTAAGAGGTCTAACTTTCAAAGCTCACAACTTCTGATGACTACAATGGGAACTGCAAGCGCTCAGTGCTTCGGAGTGTCCAGTCACTTTGATAGAGGTGCCGAATTCTGGCCATTCCTTTTAACCTGACTCTGTCTACTTAACTCTCCTGTAACGGGGCACACCTTCAGTCTGGTACAGAGACAAGAGCAATGGGGTCATGCTCATCTACACCTCCAGGGCAGGCAGGAGAGTAGCAGAGCATGCTACCAGTGCTCCAGCACTGTAAGCTATCAACATCTGTTTAATGGGGGTTAAGAGGAATTCTTCCCCAGGGGCAGATTATCCTATCGCTCCCTACTGTTGGATTTCTTGCAGCTTCTTCTGAGGCAGCTGGTCCTGGCCCCATCTGAGATCGGGTACTGGTTCAGATGGACCCTGGTCTGCTCCAGTCTGGCAATTCCTGCACTCCCAGATGGCTGTATGTGTTTCCGATGGGCTGTCAATGTTTCTGGCACAGCGGCACTCAATGACTCATTCATTTTCACGTCACAACGTGATGGGAGTAGAAACATACACAGGAGAGCTGTCTGGTTTTCCCGAAGGCCAGGCCTCTCTTGAAGTGCATCTGCCAGATTCCTACTGGCAACAACAGCAGTAACAGCCTCAGAGGGTTGCGGGCCTCAAACCGCAAGGCAGCTCCAGCATCTCCACCACACCAGGAGCGCCATGGAAAACGCTGGTGGAAGGGGACAGCAACTCCCCATTGGGTCGAAAAACAATGAGACGTTATGACGGCAGATTTACCTGTTGTACTCCGATAACGCTTGGGCGATGACAAGACCCATTCCCTGCAAGAATATAGAACAGCTTTACTCTGCAATCCCACACCACAGAAAACCAAAGGATATTGCCTGTATGAAGCTCCTCCCCCACCCACATCCCAGGGGACTACACACAATTTAGCGTGCTAAATACGGAGTCAAAGAGTGTGGCACAATTTACAAAGCCAGGGCCCTAGCCAGGGGCCAGCATGGATTAATGCTAACCAGGGTCTGGGTAAGTTAAACAGACGTTCCAGAGGAGAGAAGTCTACTCCAAGGAGCTGCCAGCGTGAAAGCTTGCTCATCCACCAACCTCAGTTCAGTGGAGAGAGCCTTAAAAGCCAGCTTGTGTCAGAGCACAGATAGATGCTAAGCCCCAGCTCACAGTGAAAGCCTCAGATACAGGCAGGCTTTAAAAATCCAACAGAGCCAGCTTAAAATCCATCAGTCACCGTACAGGCTGACACGATACAGTCATGGCAGTTCAGTCTTATGAGCAGACAAAAGCCTGGCACAGAAACAGCAAAGTCCAAATGAGCCTGGGGTTTCTTCTTTTTCTTAAGGTTTCCTAATTCAATATTCCAGACATCATGAAGGTTACAGTAAAAGGTGGTAGGACAAACCTCACAATCTATCGTACTAGACCTTCCGCACCTGCAAGTGCAGCAATTTGATATTTAAACTCAAGATACTTTAAAATGCTTCCAAATCAACCACATAACCAGGAGGACAAAACATCATCTGTTAAAATTACATGAATCTGGGAAAATTCTGAGTCTGTATGGGACACAAGAAAAAGGAGCTCAAAATCATCTTAAATTACATGGCTGCTAACACTAAGAAACCCCTTCATCAGTAGATCTTAAAACCTAAATAAATCTCAGGGTAGCTCTGAGAGTTATGTATGATCTTCATTTTACAGCTGGGGAAACTGAGGCAGAGCTAGGTCAAATGACAGAGCAAGTCAGTGTCCAACAGAATACAACCCTGAAGTCCTGGCTCCCAGTCACCTGCTCTTACCCCTAGACAACAAATCTTTCCCTTCACACAATTCAGAAGGAATCTTTAATATCTGATATCCTCTCGGCAACATTAAGGAAGATTAAGTGTCGCTACAGAAGAACCAGGGGCTGTTCTCATTTCAGTCACACTCCCATGCTGGCAGACAGTAAGCTAAGTTGACAAGGGATGGAGGGGACACAGATGGTATGTCTGTCCTGCACCAGGCAGTAGTTTACACTCTGCACAGCTGATTCTATTACAGCGAGAAAGCACCTTTGACTGCAAGGGCCCCTCTGGGCAGCTCACCTCAAGGACACAGAGATGGCTGATTTTAGCACGTTACTTTCTACCCGTCCAGGTCCTTATTACAACTAAACATTGAATTGTTACTGCATCAGGAATCCGTCTCTCTCCCCCACTCCTAGAAGTTGATTTAGTTGGGGTCGGTCCTGCTTTGGGCAGGGGGTGGGACTAGATGACCTCCTGAGGTCTCTTTCAACCTAATCTTCTGTGATTCTAAGTCTCAAAGGTCCCGCTAGCAGGGAGGCCAGACATGCTGATGCTCTCTGCTGTAGCACACTCCCCTCCTGGCTAGGTCAAGACACACGAGGACACAGAGCCCAGGAGAAGGTTGCAAGGAGCTGGATACTCACGTTGAGCGTGGCCTCGTCATCTACAATAGAGAGTTTCACAATGTACGGATTCACCGACTGTTAAACAAGAGAAAAAAGGAAAGTTTTGTCTCTGGTTTAAAAAAAGCCTGCTGGCTATTCAGCAAAGTTTCCACAGCTTCCCCTGGAGGTTTCTTCCCCCCGCCCCCCACAATGCAACAGCAGCCATTCACTGCATTGAAACTACTGGGCTCTGGCTCCCCTCTATCCACTCAGCCTCCCAAGGAATTGATGGTGTTTCTGGCTTTGCCCTCGGTGAGACGAGCCACCACTGGCTCAGCTACGCAGTCAAGATTATCTTTTATTATTAGCTTGGTAAACATCACCCAACCCTTTCATTACTGACACTTGGCACCGTGCAGCAGGCCCAGGTAGTGATGCAGAGACTGAACGTTACCACAGTCTGCGACTTCTGACTGTGCCAATAACTGCTCGAGTGAGGCACCAGGGAAGGCCTGATAATGTTAAGGACCCATCTATCACAAACTGCCAGGACTAGAGCTCAGTTCTTCCACGTTCAGACTGCTGAAAGCTTGGAATCCAAGGAGCATACAAATCATCTGTACCAGATGACCAGAGGATAGCTAGCAGAATGCCAATTTTTAAAAAAGGCTCCAGAGGTGATCCTGGCAATTATAGGCCAGTAAGCCTGACTTCAGTACCAGGCAAATTGGCTGAATCTAGAGCAAATAATAGAATTATCAGACACACAGATAAACACAATATGCTGGAGAAGAGTCAACATGGGTTTTGTAAAGGGAAATTATGCCTCATCAATCTACTAGAATTCTTTGAGGGGAGTCAACAAACATGTGGACAAGGGGGATCCAGTGGTGATAGTGTACTTCGACTTTCAAAAAACCTTAGGCAAGGTCCCTCACCAAAGGCTCTTAAGCAAAGTAAGGAGTCATGGGATAAGAGGGAAGATCCTCTCACGGATCAGTGACTGGTTAAAAGATAGGAAACAAAGGGTAGGAATAAATGGTCAGTTTTCACAATGCAAAAAGGTAAACAGCAGTGTTCCCCAAAGATCTGTACTGAGACCAGTGGTGTTCAACTTATTCATAAGTGATCTAGAAAAAGGGGTAAATAGTGAAGGGAGCAAAGTTTGCAAACAATACAAAATTACTCAAGATAGTTAAGTCCAAAGCAGAGTGTGAAGAGTTACGAAGAGATCTCACAGAACAGAGTGACTGGACAACAAAATGGCAGATGAAATTCAATGATGAAAAGTGCAAAGCAATGCACTTTGGAAAACATAATCCCAACTATATACACAAAACGATGGGGTCTAAACTAGCTGTTACCACCCAAGAAAGATCTTGGAATCATTGTGGATCATTCTCTGAAAACATCCGCTCAATGTGCAGCGGCCATCAAAAAAACGAACAGAATGTTAGAAACCATTAGGAAAGGCATAGATCATAAAACAGAAAATATCATAATGCCACTGTATAAATCCCTGAGACACCAACACCTTGAATACTGTTTGGAGTTCTGGCAGCCCCCTCTCAAGGAAGATATATTAGAAATGGAAAAGGTACAGAGAAGGACAACAAAAATGATTAGGTGTATGGAACAGACTCCAAATGAGGAGACATTAAAAAGACTGGGTTGCTCAGTTTAGAAAAGAGACGACTAAGGGGGGATACGATAGAGGTCTATGAAATCATGACTGGTGTGGAGCAAGTGAATAGGGAAGTGTTATTTATCCCGTCACATAACACAAGAACCAGAGGTTACCCGATGAAAATAATAGGCAGCAGGTTTAAAACAAATAATACATGGAAGTACGTCTCCACATGATGCACAGTCAACCTGTGGAACTCCTTGCCAGGGGATGTTGTGAAGGCCAAAAGTATAACTGTGTTCAGAAAAGAATTAAATACGTTCCTGGAGGATAGGTCCATCAATGGCTATTAGCCAAGGTAGTCGGGGATGCAACCCCATGCTCTGGGTGTCTCTAAGCCTTTGACTGCCAGAACTTGGGACTGCACAATAGAGGATGGATCACTCGATAACTTTTCTGTTCTGTTCATTCCCTCTGAAGCACCTGGCTCTAGCCACTGTCGGAAGACAGGATCCTGGGCTAGATGGACCTTTGGCCTGGCCCAGTATGGCCATTCTTATGGTCATCTGAACTCCCAGTTGAAGGAAATGTCCAGACTAAGCCCCTGTAGAGAAGCCACTAATATTTTAAATAGCATTTTTCATTAGTAAAATATGTTTGTTTATGCCAAGTTGTTTACCCCTGTCAATGCAGAGACTAGCCAAGGCAATTTGGGACTGGCTCAAACAAACAAAAAAGGGGCAGGGGAAGGTTATAAATACCCAGCAAAGATCCTTCAGATGCAGCCTCGATTTAGCAAACATTTTCTCACTGAGTTATCCAACTTTACAACTAGCTTGTCAGAGATGCAGTGCCTTGCTCAAGGTCACACAGTGAGTCAGGAACAGGGCAGGGTAGAGCCGAGCCCAGTCCCAAGCTTTCAGCTTCATGACAATTAATTTTCCTCTTCAGTTATATTTAGGAGTTTAAACCCAGAGGAGATGGTATATTAGGACAGACCAATGGTCCAGGTAACGTGGTATCCTGTCTCCAATAGTGTCCAGTACTATATGTTTGAGACAATGGCAGAAAACCCCCACAGTGCACCTCACTGAGCAACACTACCTCATGGGAAAAGAACGGAAATTTCCTGACCCCAGCTTATGCTTTGAGGCTGGAGGAAAGAGCCTTTTGAATAACTGCATATACCATTCTTCATATAAGTATAATCTTCAAAAACTAAACAGAGTCTTTGCTTCAGTAATATCCTGCAGCAGTGAGTTCCACCAGTTGCTGATATATGCATCTGACAATCATTTCCTTTTACCTTTACCTTTCTTGAGTGTGCTAAGTTCACATATTCTCTTGCTCTACTACTAGAAGGATGGGAAACAAGGAGAATAGTCTTCTCAACACCTAGTATCACTTTCTAGGCCTCTGTCACTTCTCTCCTTATTCACACCTTTCCAAACTAGAGACACCAAATCATTTTAACTTCTCCTCACAAGGAAGCCCCTTCTGGTGTGTCTAATTAATTTCACTGCCCTTCTCTGAGCTTCTCCTTTTACTCGAAAGCCTTTAACAAGATGAGGTGATCACTTGGGACACAGCAATCTAGACACACACACCCCGTTGGTATATATAATGGTGTTATTCTCTATTCCCTCACTCCCATTTCTGAGGACTGTCACAGCACACAGAGAAGACTATTTCCCTGAGCTGCCCACAGTGAATTATAGAACCGTCCCCTACTCTGAGAAGTTACAACTCATTCTGAACCCACCCATGTATCTGAGTAATTCCATTTCTTCCTTTCGGTGTGCATTAGCTCGCACTATGATCTGTCTGAATTGACAGCGAGTTGCCCAGATACCCATTTACATTAGGCCTTCCTGGCATTCCTCGCTCACCTCTCCCCACAGTTTCAGTGTGTCCTTTATTTTCTCCTGCAAGAGACTTTTGCTCAAGTTTTAGGAGAGTAAATAAATTACATCTGCCATTGTCCTATCTCCACCCGCGGGTTCCAGCCTTAGAAGCTAGGTAGGAAGCATTTCTAGTAAGCTAGAAGTACTGAGAAGCCACTAGAACTTCACTGGTGTAGTACCGGGGGGCTGAGATAGATCTTCAGCTTCCAACGGCCTCTCCTGAGAGAAAACAGAAAAATATTACCCCAGCACTCCAGAGGAAGCTGATCTTTTCTAACCACGACCTTCACAGAACAAGCATTGCAGCACTCACTCTATTCGCCAGACAGGAGTTAGAGCCTCACTCCTGGAGATGAGACACACTCAAGGGACATCTCTTATAGGCTACCTAAATCAATTACTGATAAATCATACAGAAGCAGAAATAAACACAGTCAGGGAACCTCACAAGGACAGGGCAGCTACAACCTCAGCGGAGCAGAACCTATGCAACTAAGTGACCAAAACCATTCTCGATTCCTCCAGAAGCGTAGCAAAGCGAAAGCGGCTCATGCACTGACCACCCAGCTACTTAACAAACCAATGGAAACCAGAAATTCTTCACTAAGAAAACAAAGGAGAAATACAGACTAAATCCATACAATCCCAACAATGTTAAAGTTAGTCATGCAAATGCAGTCCAGAGTCCATTCATTTATGCTTTCGCTGCAGTCGTGGTGGAATCACACAGCTGTATAGCCACCCCTGCAATTCACCCTCTCCCCGGCCAGAGGGCCTCGCTCTGCAGCCAGGCCTTCTCGGCAGGGAACTTTGGCCCGAGTAATGAGTGGGGGCAGAGCCATTCATCTCCCTATGGGCACTAGGGGGCACAGTTTTAGACCCTAGCTCCCTCACTGCTACTGCAACCACCAAATAGCTGCAGCCACAGGGCAACAGAGAAAGGAGGAAGCAGGGGGGAAAGGAGTCACCCAGCATGCTAAGTGGAGCCTCCAAGCTCCTTGGTGCAAGCAGGGGAGTGGAGAGAGAAGAGGAATGTGCCTTGTTTAAATGGGGCCTTGGTATTCCCCATGCCACTCTTCAATCAACACTGGGACTACGGGCAGGGAACAGCTCAATAGCCCAACTCCTCAACCACGCTGAAAGCTCAACAGCTGCAGGAGATATACGAAGCTGAGAGAGAGACCAAAATATCCCGGGGCTGGGAAAGGAAAAAGCAGAACCAACTGACTTCTTTTAGGCTGGGGATTGCATGAGAGTTTTGCAGCTAACAACCAAAGTAACACTACCAGCTAATTAGAGAAGCAGAGGAACCGAAACAAACTGAGAAATAAACCCCCTTCAAATGTTTGACTCCCCTCAAAACCAGTGACTCCCCTGTCGCGTAAGAAAATGTGACGGGTAACTCATTTTTCTAAACAGACCAATTTCAAATCATTCACGTTTCTGACAGAGCTCCTATCAAACAGCATGTGCTCCGACCCTCCTTTTCAAATTCCCCTTCAAAAGATGTGATAACAGGTTTCCTGCTCCCTCCTTGCTAAAGGGTCTTTTCAACCAGCGACTGA